TGTTTTTAACGAGCATACTGTCTTCTTTTTAGTTTTTTGGAAGCTATCTGGAAGACTACTGGATGAGCATAGTGAAAATTCTCGTTCGATTACCACGGTTAATGTAGGGCTAAATTAAAATTAGTAACACGTTGGAGACATCTAAATTTTGTGTCAAGCATATACGCCTTAGATATTTCGTGGTTATTCTTCAACGTTTTATAAAATTAGAACTAACTCTATGAATTAACGTGTAGAGCCAGTTAAATGTCGCTGAATCTAGCCAAATCATTCAGCAATCGGGTCACTGAATACCAAACGGTTTACCGATCTCTTTCACATTCAAGAACAATCAACGCACACCAGTGAGTTCCATGCCATGTACTGGCTCACTCAGTGGTGGTCGTACTCGATTCTTAGTACCTATTCTTACAAATATATTTTTGTACTGACGTCATGTCGTACGACAATCAACGGAGCCAGAGTAACTGGATACGATAAACCAGTAATCCATGCTAGGTACTGACCATGAAATGTGACCTCGACGTTATCTGGTCGGTCACACCCTTACCGCCTAACTCCAGTAGGGTCTTAATCGTTCGATACAGACCATCTATATTGATGATCTACAAACGTCATGAACGTTATTCTGGTAAATATCTTCTTTTATTCTTGAAACATAACTTCTAAGGTAGTCTTCAGTCTTCAGAGGTAAGAGTGAGAAGTCATTCAAACGGTCACTTTTCATGGACCTTAGTTGCATTAAATAACATTTTCTGGTAGGGAATTCCAATATCTACCACTCGACTCCTGTAACAGAAACCTAAAAGTAGATGATGTGGTTTGGGTCACGGGACTTTCGGCGAATCCCCTACTAAATGATCAGTGGTAAACGAAAAAAGATGTAACCGAAATCTTCACTTCATATACGATAAGGGAGTAACAAATTATATTTTAATATGAGGTAAAATAGCAGGAATAGGCTGAAGGGTCTTAATCTATTTTCATAAGGCAGATCAGTGAGACGCTTCACCGTATCGGTACCTTACCAATGATTCCGTTTATGCATATCCGCCTTATATTTGAAATATGGACTCCGAATAAACCCATTATAAAACGTACATCAAAAACGTTGTGTATATCACCATAAACATCACTTCATAAGAGTGACTAAATGGCTTGTGGAAAGCCTGGAATTCATAATGCTTGTGAGGAAGATCCACCAATAATTTCATTAATTTAATTAACAAGGTAAAGTTTGTCGATCAAGCAAGTGAGTGAAAAGGCAAAACAATATCCAAGCCTGGCGAGGGAAACGAGGTGTTGAATCACTGATCTTGTTTGGTCGTGCCAACATCCAGTCTTCTCCTGCCAATGCTCCCATATCACTCTCGTTCGTCGTTGTATTGTATCTGAAGTTTTGTAGTTTGTGGTTGGATTCCAGAATCAGTAAGGATATCCAGAAAAATTATGGAAGATATTAACTATTATTATTGTTTATACGAATATTCGTCAAGATTAGAACGAATAGTTTGATAGTACTTGAGCGCCGAGTATGGAGAAGTCATTATACGTGAAAAATATATTCGAAATATTCTCAGCGATTGAAATATAACTAATTCCAACGTTTCGTCCAGCTAACTCGTCTGGACATCTTCAGGGTAATCATCAAAATTATCAAAGGAATATATAGCTTTTTAACAGTCAGAATTATACGGTGTTAAACCAGTCATATTTGGATGTTGATTTTTTATAAAATAGGATAAAATGAGTCAGTTAAATACAATTCATGTGTAGAATTCAACTACACGGAAATACTTAAGTGAGTAACAAATCGTATGTGTGTGAGTGTGTAGGTATGTATGTATTTGTGAGAGACTGATATGAAGGAATAAATAAAGTTCAAGTTGAAGGATGAAAAATTGATAATGAAACATCGATGTATATGTCAAAACATAAATTGTATTGTTTAAAAACTCAATGAATTCATTCAAAATAATAACGATGCATACTATATAAAAAAGAGGTTTAAACAAGAGATAGGTTCCAAATTCTTTACTTGTCAAACGAAATTTTTCAGGTAGTTGCCAGTTGAATACCATCTTTTCGGTTCAGGCTGTTTTTTTCGGCCCATATATGCAGCGCTTCTGCTGTCAATCTTTCTTTATGGGTGTTAAAACCTTTCTGGAGTATTTTGTTCCTTTCAAAATTAATCTTGTGTCCTGCTATTAACGCATGTAACGGTATCGCTGACTTATTTTCAAGTTTCTTTAAATCAACCGAGGGTTTGGGAACATTTCTCAAGCATTGTTTGTGTTCCTTCAATCTTACATTCAATTGCTTGGATGTTTCTCCAACATAGGTAGCATTACAGTCATAACAGTGAACCTCATACACAATGTTCCGTTGTTCATCCTTTGCTAACTTTGTAGCGTAGCGTCGAGTTGAGATTAACTGTGAACACCGCTACCAAGAAGCTCGTTCCAAATGACTCCATTAAAACCCCGAGAAGCCAAATACTGGAAGGCAGAAAATGGAACAAGTCAAGATTTATTCACTGGCGATCTCGTGGTATCGAAGGGATACCGAGATCGTGCCAGGTTACAAGCTTAGTTACAGAAGGTAACCGAATTCGCGCGAAATTACAATCGAAGTGTAAGAACAAGAATGGAAGCCCAATATAGCTGTCATTAGCACAGTCAAACAAAAGCACATTAAAACAAACACTGGTACAACTGTTTATAATAATAATTGTTTTTATTGAACCAGTCGTGTTCTCGTAATAAATGTGAGTCACTACAGGAGCCCCCCGCTAGAAAGAGTTTACACTTTCGATAAATAGCGGTTTAAATCGTGGGACTGATCGGGTGACGACCGATTGTAGGACGAACGGATTGGCGAACAGGAAAGCGGTCGTTGATCGTCGAGTTGCCAACGAAGGTCGTTTTCGGAGAACGGTACCAGGAGCGAGGTGCTGTACTTGTTGCTTGAGTTGACATGCTACACGAGTGGTTTGTATCCAGAATCTGAAGATGGCGGTCGTAGGAAATGCGGACCAGAAACGCTGTAGACGTAGGACGAAAGCACGTTGAGACAGAAGCGACCGCAAGGACCTAGTTCGAGACCAAGCGTGTGCCAAACATTCAAACCAATATATCGACTGAGTGCGTTGACAAGAGCGTGGGTGATCAGGCCAGCTTTCGCCAAGGTTGACTGAAGTCGACGGAACCAAACTGAGGTGGTCGAAGGCGTGGGCTCAGGAAACAAAAAAAAGAAAAAAAAGAGTGTAGCATGCGTGTAGTATAGGAATAATACTACACCGTATCGGTTGTTGACTGTGCAACTATTTGCGGAAACGTACAGGTAACCGCACTCGGTGACCGGAACGTAAGACGGTAGTCTCGTTCGTATTTCGTGAGCCTGCAATCTCATCCGAGGTCAGAGGCGGCGTGGTCTGCCGATCTGGACGTTAGACTGTTGTCTCGTCCGTAGATAGTGCAGATGACGCGTGCTGTTGACCGGGATGTGAGAATGAGGTCTCAGGTGTATCCAGCGTGGGACCTGAAGATGGTTTGAGGATCCCGCTAGGTTTGCTAGGTCTAACATTGAATCTCAGGATATCAGATAGTGCACTGTCATCGACGTGTGCTGATTTGAGACGATCAATGCTGACGATCTCGACGCGTCCATATCGATCAACCTTGAAGATCTTTTCGTGACGAGCGATCGCGTGAAAAGAGCTTTCGTAAGGTTGTTGCCAAGGTTTGCGTACCGAATCTACTCGTAAGAAAACATGTGAACAGGTAGATAGCTCTCGAGGGAGAGCGACCTGTCGATGTTGTATTCCAGTTGACACCGGAGACAGCGTTCGCATAAATGCAGACAGTCGATGGACGTAGTCTGATTTACCGAAATCAGGTCTGCTCCGTGGTGTGAAGAATTCTCCGGGCAGACGCAATGTCGTGCCGTATACAAGTTCAGCGGCGGAACATTGGATATCTGAATTTAAGCTCGTTCCGATTCCTAAAATAACGAGCGGTAAGGTTTCGTGCCAGTTGCCGTTTTCGTGTGTTCGTAGAGCACTTTTAAGTTGGCAGTGAAACCGTTCAACTTAACCATTTGGTGCTGGTTGGTAGACGGATATGCTTATGCGTATGCATTCCGTACCAAGCAGCCGGGATAGCGAGGAGAATCGTTAATAGGGTAAAATTTCTCGAATAAAGCGTGGGATTTACCGTCACGCGAATAAAAAGTGACAAGGATTCGGTACACATATGTGGGAGTCTATTATAATAATACTATTCTTATCGTTATCCGTCATGTCGAGATAATATGAAAATATATGACAGACGTGGATAGATAAATAACAGACTCACCAAATTGGCTTCTTTGGAAGATTTCACCAGAGGTTGAGGCGTGTTCCAAACTTTGGGATCACCAATTGTAGCGTGGCGTCGAGTTGAGATTAACTGTGAACACCGCTACCAAGAAGCTCGTTCCAAATGACTCCATTAAAACCCCGAGAAGCCAAATACTGGAAGGCAGAAAATGGAACAAGTCAAGATTTATTCACTGGCGATCTCGTGGTATCGAAGGGATACCGAGATCGTGCCAGGTTACAAGCTTAGTTACAGAAGGTAACCGAATTCGCGCGAAATTACAATCGAAGTGTAAGAACAAGAATGGAAGCCCAATATAGCTGTCATTAGCACAGTCAAACAAAAGCACATTAAAACAAACACTGGTACAACTGTTTATAATAATAATTGTTTTTATTGAACCAGTCGTGTTCTCGTAATAAATGTGAGTCACTACAGGAGCCCCCCGCTAGAAAGAGTTTACACTTTCGATAAATAGCGGTTTAAATCGTGGGACTGATCGGGTGACGACCGATTGTAGGACGAACGGATTGGCGAACAGGAAAGCGGTCGTTGATCGTCGAGTTGCCAACGAAGGTCGTTTTCGGAGAACGGTACCAGGAGCGAGGTGCTGTACTTGTTGCTTGAGTTGACATGCTACACGAGTGGTTTGTATCCAGAATCTGAAGATGGCGGTCGTAGGAAATGCGGACCAGAAACGCTGTAGACGTAGGACGAAAGCACGTTGAGACAGAAGCGACCGCAAGGACCTAGTTCGAGACCAAGCGTGTGCCAAACATTCAAACCAATATATCGACTGAGTGCGTTGACAAGAGCGTGGGTGATCAGGCCAGCTTTCGCCAAGGTTGACTGAAGTCGACGGAACCAAACTGAGGTGGTCGAAGGCGTGGGCTCAGGAAACAAAAAAAAGAAAAAAAAGAGTGTAGCATGCGTGTAGTATAGGAATAATACTACACCGTATCGGTTGTTGACTGTGCAACTATTTGCGGAAACGTACAGGTAACCGCACTCGGTGACCGGAACGTAAGACGGTAGTCTCGTTCGTATTTCGTGAGCCTGCAATCTCATCCGAGGTCAGAGGCGGCATGGTCTGCCTATCTGGACGTTAGACTGTTGTCTCGTCCGTAGATAGTGCAGATGACGCGTGCTGTTGACCGGGATGTGAGAATGAGGTCTCAGGTGTATCCAGCGTGGGACCTGAAGATGGTTTGAGGATCCCGCTAGGTTTGCTAGGTCTAACATTGAATCTCAGGATATCAGATAGTGCACTGTCATCGACGTGTGCTGATTTGAGACGATCAATGCTGACGATCTCGACGCGTCCATATCGATCAACCTTGAAGATCTTTTCGTGACGAGCGATCGCGTGAAAAGAGCTTTCGTAAGGTTGTTGCCAAGGTTTGCGTACCGAATCTACTCGTAAGAAAACATGTGAACAGGTAGATAGCTCTCGAGGGAGAGCGACCTGTCGATGTTGTATTCCAGTTGACACCGGAGACAGCGTTCGCATAAATGCAGACAGTCGATGGACGTAGTCTGATTTACCGAAATCAGGTCTGCTCCGTGGTGTGAAGAATTCTCCGGGCAGACGCAATGTCGTGCCGTATACAAGTTCAGCGGCGGAACATTGGATATCTGAATTTAAGCTCGTTCCGATTCCTAAAATAACGAGCGGTAAGGTTTCGTGCCAGTTGCCGTTTTCGTGTGTTCGTAGAGCACTTTTAAGTTGGCAGTGAAACCGTTCAACTTAACCATTTGGTGCTGGTTGGTAGACGGATATGCTTATGCGTATGCATTCCGTACCAAGCAGCCGGGATAGCGAGGAGAATCGTTAATAGGGTAAAATTTCTCGAATAAAGCGTGGGATTTACCGTCACGCGAATAAAAAGTGACAAGGATTCGGTACACATATGTGGGAGTCTATTATAATAATACTATTCTTATCGTTATCCGTCATGTCGAGATAATATGAAAATATATGACAGACGTGGATAGATAAATAACAGACTCACCAAATTGGCTTCTTTGGAAGATTTCACCAGAGGTTGAGGCGTGTTCCAAACTTTGGGATCACCAATTGTAGCGTGGCGTCGAGTTGAGATTAACTGTGAACACCGCTACCAAGAAGCTCGTTCCAAATGACTCCATTAAAACCCCGAGAAGCCAAATACTGGAAGGCAGAAAATGGAACAAGTCAAGATTTATTCACTGGCGATCTCGTGGTATCGAAGGGATACCGAGATCGTGCCAGGTTACAAGCTTAGTTACAGAAGGTAACCGAATTCGCGCGAAATTACAATCGAAGTGTAAGAACAAGAATGGAAGCCCAATATAGCTGTCATTAGCACAGTCAAACAAAAGCACATTAAAACAAACACTGGTACAACTGTTTATAATAATAATTGTTTTTATTGAACCAGTCGTGTTCTCGTAATAAATGTGAGTCACTACAGGAGCCCCCCGCTAGAAAGAGTTTACACTTTCGATAAATAGCGGTTTAAATCGTGGGACTGATCGGGTGACGACCGATTGTAGGACGAACGGATTGGCGAACAGGAAAGCGGTCGTTGATCGTCGAGTTGCCAACGAAGGTCGTTTTCGGAGAACGGTACCAGGAGCGAGGTGCTGTACTTGTTGCTTGAGTTGACATGCTACACGAGTGGTTTGTATCCAGAATCTGAAGATGGCGGTCGTAGGAAATGCGGACCAGAAACGCTGTAGACGTAGGACGAAAGCACGTTGAGACAGAAGCGACCGCAAGGACCTAGTTCGAGACCAAGCGTGTGCCAAACATTCAAACCAATATATCGACTGAGTGCGTTGACAAGAGCGTGGGTGATCAGGCCAGCTTTCGCCAAGGTTGACTGAAGTCGACGGAACCAAACTGAGGTGGTCGAAGGCGTGGGCTCAGGAAACAAAAAAAAGAAAAAAAAGAGTGTAGCATGCGTGTAGTATAGGAATAATACTACACCGTATCGGTTGTTGACTGTGCAACTATTTGCGGAAACGTACAGGTAACCGCACTCGGTGACCGGAACGTAAGACGGTAGTCTCGTTCGTATTTCGTGAGCCTGCAATCTCATCCGAGGTCAGAGGCGGCGTGGTCTGCCGATCTGGACGTTAGACTGTTGTCTCGTCCGTAGATAGTGCAGATGACGCGTGCTGTTGACCGGGATGTGAGAATGAGGTCTCAGGTGTATCCAGCGTGGGACCTGAAGATGGTTTGAGGATCCCGCTAGGTTTGCTAGGTCTAACATTGAATCTCAGGATATCAGATAGTGCACTGTCATCGACGTGTGCTGATTTGAGACGATCAATGCTGACGATCTCGACGCGTCCATATCGATCAACCTTGAAGATCTTTTCGTGACGAGCGATCGCGTGAAAAGAGCTTTCGTAAGGTTGTTGCCAAGGTTTGCGTACCGAATCTACTCGTAAGAAAACATGTGAACAGGTAGATAGCTCTCGAGGGAGAGCGACCTGTCGATGTTGTATTCCAGTTGACACCGGAGACAGCGTTCGCATAAATGCAGACAGTCGATGGACGTAGTCTGATTTACCGAAATCAGGTCTGCTCCGTGGTGTGAAGAATTCTCCGGGCAGACGCAATGTCGTGCCGTATACAAGTTCAGCGGCGGAACATTGGATATCTGAATTTAAGCTCGTTCCGATTCCTAAAATAACGAGCGGTAAGGTTTCGTGCCAGTTGCCGTTTTCGTGTGTTCGTAGAGCACTTTTAAGTTGGCAGTGAAACCGTTCAACTTAACCATTTGGTGCTGGTTGGTAGACGGATATGCTTATGCGTATGCATTCCGTACCAAGCAGCCGGGATAGCGAGGAGAATCGTTAATAGGGTAAAATTTCTCGAATAAAGCGTGGGATTTACCGTCACGCGAATAAAAAGTGACAAGGATTCGGTACACATATGTGGGAGTCTATTATAATAATACTATTCTTATCGTTATCCGTCATGTCGAGATAATATGAAAATATATGACAGACGTGGATAGATAAATAACAGACTCACCAAATTGGCTTCTTTGGAAGATTTCACCAGAGGTTGAGGCGTGTTCCAAACTTTGGGATCACCAATTGTAGCGTGGCGTCGAGTTGAGATTAACTGTGAACACCGCTACCAAGAAGCTCGTTCCAAATGACTCCATTAAAACCCCGAGAAGCCAAATACCGGAAGGCAGAAAATGGAACAAGTCAAGATTTATTCACTGGCGATCTCGTGGTATCGAAGGGATACCGAGATCGTGCCAGGTTACAAGCTTAGTTACAGAAGGTAACCGAATTCGCGCGAAATTACAATCGAAGTGTAAGAACAAGAATGGAAGCCCAATATAGCTGTCATTAGCACAGTCAAACAAAAGCACATTAAAACAAACACTGGTACAACTGTTTATAATAATAATTGTTTTTATTGAACCAGTCGTGTTCTCGTAATAAACGTGAGTCACTACAACTTGTCCTTAACTTTCACTAATGTCGATCTTAATGTGTTATTCGCTCTAAAATACACTCCTATATCACGTTTGTTTAGAATCCGTTTGATTTCTGATGTTTCACTACGGTAAGGCATGACTACGATGTACTTCCATTATTTTCGTATACTTTCTAGCTTAGTTTTTCTTTGATTTTTATTAATCTTCTTGAAAAACCTTTTTGGGTAGTTGTTATCCCCAAGGGTAGAAAATAATTTATTTAATTCAGTTCATTGGTCTTCCTTGTCTGTAACAATCTTAGTACTTCTGTTCATTATTTGCCATATTAATTTTCGTGCTCTGAGAATGTGCTGAATTAAAATCCAGGTATCTCTCGGAATGTGTTGATTTTCTGTAAACATTTATTTTCAACTTATTATTATTGTGTCGACGTTCAACCAAACAATCTAGAAATGCTAGTTTGTGGTCAACTGATTCTAATTCCTTAGTTAGTTTAATGTTTTCAGAAATGCTGTTTACATTGTTAAATAGTTCTTCCACACCATCCCGCTTATTGATAGTAAAAATTTCGTCTACATACCTTAACCATAGCTTTGGTGGACAGAAACGTTTTGCGATTGCACTAGTTTCTAGGGAATGCGTGAATAAATTCTCTACAATCGGAGAAACTGGTGAGCCCATTGCTATAACCTCTTTCTGTCTGTAAAGTTGACCTTGAGATATGAATAAACATAATTCTAACCATTTTATAACCTCCGATGGATCTAATGGGCATAGTAAATTCAAATCTAAACCAGATTCTAAACAATCATTGATAATATCCATAGCTCGACTGATAAGTACATCAGTGAATAAAAAAGATTCATCAACACTTGCCACTATTTCGTCTTCTATATCGATGGTATCAGTTAAATTCTTGAATTCCATAGTTTTTAATTCCATGATTAATCCGTTTTTCATATGGTTTGAGAATCTTAGCTAAATATTTAGCTAGATTGTAAGTCGGTGAATTTGTATAGTCTACCACTGGTCTTAGTGGAGTATTATTTATGTGGATCTTGGGTAGTCCATAAAATCCACATGGGTTACAACTCTTTGGATATAATATAAACCATAGGGACGATCTTAGTTTAGCTTTTAATGACTGTAAGAGTTTGCTAGTTTCTGCCTTGAGTTTATTAAGTTTTTTTTTTACTTTTTGCTTCTCTGTAGATGTTTCTTGGCCTTCTTCTCCCACTGTTTTATTCATAATAACTGTAGTATTACCTCTATCTGCTTTCATTATTATGATCGTTTTGTCATCTCTCAGATGTTTTAATGCGTAATATTCATTTTTATTTATGTTAGGGTTATGAGGTTTCTGATGTAATAATGTGTTCATTATTTTATTCCTCAGTTCATTCACTGACTCATTTTATCCTATTTTACAGAAAATCAACATCCAAATATGATTGGTTTAACACCGTATCATTCCGATTGTTAAAAAGCTATATATTTCTTTGATAATTTTGATTATTACCCTGAAGAAGTCCAGACGAGTTAGCTGGACGAAACGTTGGAATTAGTTATATTTCAATCGCTGAGAATATTTCGAATATAATTTTCACATATTATTATCGT